AAGAGAAGGAGGGAGAGACATTCATTTCTGAGAAGCCGTTGCGTCCCGTCAGGCAAATTTTCCAGGATGCGTCCCGGCGGTCCCGGCGTTTTGTTTAGAAATCCATAATAATGTTTTTAGTGGTCTGTTTCGTAAATTGTCGCATCGTGTGTCACATGCAAATTGTTTGTTTCATTTTCAAAGTTTTGCACGTCTTTGTTGCGTTCGTAAAACCAAAATTGAACCAGTATTTGACACTTTTGGTCATTAATGTCGATGAGCGGAACAGAGCTATTTAACCTGAAAAGAGGAGTACGGGAGGTAAAGTTTAATTTCAACTGTCACTGTTAAATTTTCTTCATAGATTAACGATATAATTTGTATTTAATACAAACAGAATATGTTTTTCACAAACTTATCTTGCTTGTCTAGGAATTTCAAGTCGACACTTTAAAAATGGGCACACCTTCTTCAATGCAACCCTTGATAAAGGCTATGATGACCAAGAAAATTGCTAAATTTTGATAACTTTGCACATCTGTGTGCATTTGAAAAGGCATAAAATTAAAATTGAATATCTCTTGAATTGATAGGCATTAAGTCCTACCTTTTTGGTCCAGTGTTTTAGTTCGCCAATTATTACAACTGCAGATCAGAGCGTATGCCACTTGCAACTACTGATGAACACTGTACGTAGATTTGCAGAGTGCGGGCGAGGGAGGTGTGTAAACTGAAGTCTGCTGCGAGTTTGCGTTCTGGTCGGTGCGTGCGTAGCGTGTGCGTGAGGCACAGCAACAGCGGTGCGCGATATGTTGCCATCAATAACGTTACGCGCACAACGCGCGTATAATGGTCATTTTCCACGCATTTCTCCCGCCCACGACGCCCTTTGCGTTGTTCCATCTCCGGCTCTCGTCTTTTGTACGCGACGCATGCCGAGTTTCGATGTAGGGGGTTTTGCAAGCCTTAGTCATTTTGTTTCTTTTTGTTATGTTTTTTCCCTCGTTTTCGGTTCTCGCCCTTATGGTAGCGCGGCGGGGCCAGCCCGATATATTATTCAGTATTTTTCTCGCTCTCGGCCCAGACCGTCGCGCGCACCCCATACCCAAGGTCCTTTCTTGGCTGGCCCTGAGGGCCTCGCCCTTTGAACAGACTGCTTTGACCACGACAATCCGAAGGGCGTGGGGGGCCTTGCTCCAGCCAGGCTGTGCTGACCCGACCTCGACAGACGGACAGGCTCTGGACAGAGGACCTACCCTCCAAACGGGTAGTTACGTGTCAGGGTCCTTTGACGGTCCAGGCCCTGGCAACAACAGGAGCAGCGGCAGCCTTTCGGTCCAGTGCGCATCTCACTGATGGACGGGCTAAACACTCGCGCGTGCTCCGAGGCCGCTGTGTTGTCCACTATACGAAGTAGATTGGTTCGGATAGGTTAGGTTCCACAATGTGGGTGATCGTAGCTGCATCGCAAATTGCCATAATTTATTTTATGTGTTTATCGCTTGCATTCTACAGATTTTTGGTTCCATTTTCATTCCTCCACTAAAAAAATTTGTATTTCAGCAGTTTTTAACCTCACATATGATGCGTTGATATTCCTGCCTCTCCACTGCAAAAAATTATGACATGATAAATGACAGCATCGACTGCTAATTATTTTCCAACAATGTCTGTTATTCGAATAACAGTATTGCTGTAGTTTCAATGGTTAAAATTTGGTTTGGAGAGCAATGTACAGGACCACCGCACAGGCAAAACCGGGCAAAACTGTCTACAGTAAAGCCGTACTCGTACACTGTACCGTGTAAGACCTGGGCTTTCCGGTACTACAGCGACACTTTGTCCACGCTCTGTACCCTAGGTACAGTGACTAAGAGCGGCATCTACAGCAACGCCCTAGATCTTACCGTATTAGACTCTAGGGTCCATTTTAGTTTTATATTCTGTTTTCGAAACGGAAAGAACGAAAGGAGTAGTGCAGGGACCCAACAAATCCAAAGGAAGGCTCAACGCACAAACGCACGAATCATCTGCAGCTTTGTGTGACGTTCCTCTGTAAGCGCCGAGTCTCCCGAAACAGTCTGTGTTCTACACGTGACTCGATAATGTCCGCGAGGCCCTTGTAGGCCGAGGCGCGCTGAGTAACGCCTTTTGTTGTAAAAAGGACGACTCTTTCGACTAACTCGATTCTTGTAGAGCGTGGCGAGCGGAGCAGCGCAGCGGGACTGAAAAGAACTAACTGAAATAATAATAATCATCAACGCCATGATGAAAATGAAGTCCTCTCCGTCTCCCTTTCAGTTTTATCTTTTTTTGCCCAGCTGCTGCTGCTGGATGGGATAAGCTTTTAGCACCACCTGGCCGTTAGAAAGAATGTCGGCGGGAAACACGCAATTCAGAAAGTCTGCAGCAAACATCAAAACTTTTGGACATGGCTTTATTCCCTTTTCTCCCTTCCTTCTCTTTCGCCATGTGTCTCTCTCCCGCTTTGCTCACCTCTGCCCCCACCCCCACCTTTTAACAATCGCGTTGTTGCGCTGTCTCTGTTATCGCTGGACATTTTTCGCCCTTGCCGCACCTCCTCTACGCTACGGACATCTCAGAAGTTCAGCTGGCAAAGTCGTTCACAAGAATTGCCTTGCAGCAGAGATCTCCAGAAAATCCTGGTGTTGCTTATCGCACACATTTTAAATCATTTGCGGAATTACACCTTTTGAAGTTTTTAGCGATCGATAGGCTTGTAATTGAAATACTTCATGCCTAGTTGTTTAATAATCTGACGTGAGCCGTTGTTGTTTTCGTTACCAAAATGTGTCACCTTGACGTTTTTACTAAACTTCATTTCATTTTCCCGCATTTTTCACGGAGTTTGATCGTTTTAGCTAATATTCCGACTTTTTGCCACGCATGGCCTCAGCTGCCATGAACAAGCAATCTGTCTTTTCATTGAATTTCCAGAGAGTCTCCTCGCAAAACCTGTCGTCAATTCGAATGGAGCACAATGAATTCTCAAAATAGATTGGCAAGTTGGATGGTAAGAGGGAGGAGGGGTAGAGGGAAGAAACGGGGGAAAGGGCAGAGCTTTCTCTTGGGAGGTGTCGTGCGCTATCGAAAAGCCGCATGTGTGTGCGTGCGCTTGTGCGTGATCCCCCCCCCCCCCCTCTCCACACACACACAGCCACACACTGCCACGCACCACCACACCACGCCACGCCTAAAGCCCCGGGGACTAGCCGGCTCCCGTGCAATATTTGGCCAACTTGCTGACCTCCCGGGTGGTGGTGGTGGTGGTGCGGAGTTCCGCAGTCGTGGTGACCGGGTGGGGAGGGTGAGGGGCGGAGGGTGGGAGAGGGAGGGGAAGGCAATAGACTGAACGGGCCAGATTGTACAACACACCATCAATTACTGCCGTGTCGAAGTGGGGCGAGCGTGTGGCTACTCCTGTGGGCATTAGGGGGAGGAGAAGATTAAGGAGGTTGGAGGGCAGAGAGGGGGTGGCAGGGAGGAACAGGATGTATTTTTTTTTTTTTTTTTACAAACATACAGCTGGACCGACTGGCTATCTATAACTTTCGCGTCGGGCATCAGTCTGACGTCCTGCGTCGCTAATTCTGCGACCGGATGCCGGCTGCTCCAAAACTTTTCACGTTCATCAGTCATCTACAAAACTGACACTGCTGCGGGGACCTTTATGAGGCCCCTCTCCCCCCGATGCCAAAGGGCAACAGCGAGAGTGGTCGGGGGAGGCTTGTTTGAGAAAGGCGTGTTCATAAATTCGTTTTGCGACGAAAAGTTTGTCCTACTTGTGAGTCGCCTGGACAACATTTGTCAGGGCAGATGTTAGCCACGCTGTTCCGGTGCTTGAAAAAAAAAAAAAAAAACACTTTTCTTACAGCGCGAGTGTTTGGATGAAAGTATGAGAAAAACGAGGTGGTTCACGTGTAGCCTTTTTCAACGAAAGTCAACTAGTTTCGGGACCCCAATGTGTCACAAGGGGAACTTACAGACCTTTCCGAAAAGTTGCTTTCGGGGGCTAAATCATGCGAGACCGAGTGGGTGAAACTAGCGGCATCTCACGACCATGACGCAAAGCCAGCGGTCCGGCTCCGGCCGGAGTGGCGCACTTTTAGATTACAATGGCCGTTTGGACGAGTGGCGCAGCAGAACGGCGGGGATGTGGAATCCTTTATAACTAGGATGGGCCTCCATTTTTACCACCATTTTTTTTTCTGTTCTTCTCGCTCGTCTGCCTGCTTGTTTGTTTGCCGGGGGGTTGTGTCCATGTTCTCGTAATTAAATCTCAGATTCATTCCTAGCTGGCAAAAATGAACTCCGTGCGCAAATATTTTGCGGCCATAGGAGAGGGGGAAGGATATTAAGAAGACTGAAGTCGGTGGATACTAGACAGACACCGCTGCGCACATTGTTTTTTACTATTTTGAGGGGGGTAGGGGTTGTTTATTATCGTCCCAAAAACAAGTGTTTTGCGCCGAGGCCATCTTGTTCTAACTCGGCTTGATTGCTGTCCTCCACACGAGCTGCGCGCGCTGGCTGCTGCTAGCTCCGACCACCACATTATCTCCCCACACAGGCCAGCCTGTTCCAATCTCGAGCTCCCCCGCCCCTCTGCCTCCTCCGCGCTACCCTCTTACCCCTTAAGGCCACAAACGGCTGCCTTGTTTCGCGACTCTCCCTCTCCCGCCCCTCGTCCCTCTTGTTGACGAAGAGGTATAGGAGGGCACGTCGAGCAGAGATTACGGGGCACACGCTCGCTCCCTCCAGGTGACAATCCTGAGGGAAATTGCCACACGCCTAGTGCGGCGAGGCTCGGTGCCCCGCCCCACTCCAGCCCCCC